CGCCCGAGGAACATGTGAAGGACGCCTGAGGAACATGCGAAGGACGCCCGAGGAACATGCGAAGGACGCCCGAGGAACATTTAAAGGACGCCCGAGGAACATGTGAAGGACGCACGAGGAACATGTAAAGGACGCCTGAGGAACATGCGAAGGACGCCTGAGGAACATGCAAAGGACGCCCGAGGAACATGTAAAGGATGCCCGAGGAACATGTAAAGGACGCCTGTGGAACATGTGGAGGACGCCTGAGGAACATGTAAAGGACGCCTGAGGAACATGCGAAGGACGCCTGAGGAACATGCGAAGGACGCCTAAGGAACATGCGAAGGACGCCTGAGGAACATGTAAAGGACGCCTGTGGAACATGTGGAGGACGCCTGAGGAACATGTAAAGGACGCCTGAGGAACATGTAAAGGACGCCTGTGGAACATGTGGAGGACGCCTGAGGAACATGTAAAGGACGCCTGAGGAACATGCGAAGGACGCCTGAGGAACATGCGAAGGACGCCTGAGGAACATGTGAAGGACACCTGAGGAACATGTAAAGGACGCCTGAGGAACATGTGAAGGACGCCTGGGGAACATGTAAAGGACGCCTGAGGAACATGCAAAGGACGCCTGAGGAACATGCAAAGGACGCCTGAGGAACATGCAAAGGACGCCCGAGGAACATGCAAAGGACGCCCGAGGAACATGCAAAGGACGCCCGAGGAACATGCAAAGGACGCCCGAGGAACATGCAAAGGACGCCCGAGGAACATGTAAAGGACGCCCGAGGAACATGTAAAGGACGCCCGAGGAACATGTAAAGGACGCCCGAGGAACATGTAAAGGACGCCCGAGGAACATGTAAAGGACGCCCGAGGAACATGTAAAGGACGCCCGAGGAACATGTAAAGGACGCCCGAGGAACATGTAAAGGACGCCCGAAGAACATGTAAAGGACGCCCGAGGAACATGTAAAGGACGCCCGAGGAACATGTGAAGGACGCCTGAGGAACATGTAAAGAGAGAAAAAAAAGAGAGATGGATAGATGTCCTCTGGCTGGATGGGTGTGCGTTATCAGCAGGTCTGTCTGTGGTGGCCATTGAGGTGATTAGAAAGGATCCTTACATGTTGATGTTGATCAATCAATACACAAAATGAACTTGTACGCCAATGGTGTAGAGGCTGTTTTCATAGCCAATGTTTTCATCATTGCTGGGGATTTTAACCAGGCTAACTTGAAGACTGTTCTCCCTCATTTTTACCAACATGTAAACTTTGCAACTCGGGGTGAAAACACTGTAGACCTGGTTTACTCTAACATCAAAGATGCATTCAGAGCAGCCCCCCCCCCCCGGGCCTTGGTTCATCAGATCATCTCTCTGTCATGCTTATCGCTGCATATAAGCCCCAGCTGATCAGGGCTAAACTGACAGTTAAAGAGGTCAGAGTGTGGTCTGAGGGTGCCATGGAGACACTCCAAGACTGTTTTGAATGCTCTGACTGGAACATCTTCAAGGCTGCAGCAACATATTAAAACTTATTGAATATTGATGAGTATGCCATGACTGTGTCAGCCTACATCAACAAATGCATTGAGGACATCAGCATCAAAAGAACATCACCACCCGGGCCAACCGACCTCCCTGGATAAATGGAGAGGTTCTGAAATCCCCTAAAGCACGCAGAGATGGCAAAAGTACTCACTTTCCGTAGTTGAGTAAAAGTACAGATACTTGTGTTAAAAATACTCTGGTAAAAGTGGAAGTACTGATTAAACTTCTTTACTCAAGTAAAAGTAACAAAGTACAGGCTTGTAAATTTACTTAAAGTATAAAAGTAAAAGTAGAAACCACTTTTTTCATGCCGTTGCCTACATTTTAAATGGATGTCTGCCAATAGGACTAGATCTCCGTTGTGTTAATTTTCAATCATCTCGTCGTCCATGCTACTATGCTAACGCCACCGCCACCAAGCTGCAATGATTTTCCGCCAATGAATACCGCTGAATCTGTCGATTCATCTTGTAGTGGTGCGTCAAATGCAACGTAGATTCCCATCCAATTAGATTGAATTTGGTATTGATGACGTGAAAAATAATAACGGTAACTCCATTGAAATGATTCAAAACTAAAGTAACGAGCCAATTTTTTAAAATGTAAGGAGTAGAAAGTACAGATATTTGTGTAAAAATGTAAGGAGTAGAAGTAAAAAATCACCATAAAAATAAGTAGTAAAGTAAAGTAAAAATATCAGAAAAATCTACTTGAGTACAGTAACGAAGTATTTGTACTTCGTTACTTCCCATCTCTGAAAGCACCAAACTCAGCTTTGAAGTCTGGCGATAAAGAGGCACTAAGAACAACGCGTGCCAACTTAAAGCCATCAGATCAGCGAAGAAGAACCACAGCCAGAAGATCCAGGATCTTTTCGACGATGACAGCAACACCAGGAGGATGTGGAAAGGCATTCGGATCACAGACTACAACACCCCCCCCCCCCCCCCCCCCCCTAAACAGCCTCCAGCAGTGAAAGCTGTTCCACACCAGGGGGAGGAGACACTAAACCTGGACGTAGCTGAAGTGAGGAAAACTCGGAGGAGAGTCAATCCAAGGAAGGCCCCAGGGCCTGATAACATACCTGGGCAGGTGTATAAGGAGTGTGCAGATCAGCTGGCTGGTGTCCTCACAGACATCTTTAACACCTGGCTGGATAAATCCATAGTGCCAGCATGCTTCCAGTCTGCCTCCATTATTCCAGTCCCAAAGAAGCCTCAGGTCGCCTCCCTCCATGATTAGCGGCCTGTCGCTCTGACTCCCATCATGATGAAGCTCTTCCAAAGGCTGGTTAAAGAACACATCGTCTCCAGTCTGCCGCCAACATTCCACCCGTTCCAGTTCGCCTACGGATGGAACCGCTCCACTGAGGACGCCATCTCTGCTGCTCTCCACCTGAGCCTGGCACACCTGGAGGAGAAGAACACCCAGGTGCGGACGCTGTTCCTGGACTTCAGCTCAGCTTTCAGCACCATCATCCCACAGCATCTGATGGGCAAACTGGAACAGCTGGGATTCAATACACCCCTCTGCTATTGGCTGCCAGACTTCCTCACCAACAGACCTCAGTCAGTCCGGGTCGGACCTCTGATGTTATCAGTCTAAGCCCCTCCCCTCAGGGCTGCGTCCTGAGCCCCCTGCCGTTCACCCTGATGACACACGGCTGCGTCCCCAGGTTCACCACCGATCACATGGTGAAGTTTGCAGATGACACCACGGTGGTGGGCCTCATCAGAGACGACAACGACCTGGACTACAGAGAGGAGGTGGAGCAGCTGGTGGTGCAGAGATAACAGCCTGATCCTGAAGGTGGAGAAGACCAAGGAGATCATGGTGGACTTCAGGAAGAAGCGGCCTAACCACGCTCCACTGCTCATCAACAGCTCAGCTGTAGAGGTGGTCAACAGGGGGTGCACACCACAGACACCCTCACCTGGACTGGAAACACCACCTCACTGGTCAAAAGGGCCCAGAAGCGCTTGGACTTCCTGCAGGGGATGAGGAGACATGTCATTTTGTATACACTCGCGTATACAAAATTACAAAATAAACCTGTCTAAGTCTAATTAAAAAGAACCATGAATATTTACACCGCTGGTCTAGCGATCGGAAGTATTATCTTTCCCAGTCCAATCCGTACCTCTACCAAAGGAGTCCAATTATTTGGAATGGTTTTTAGAAATATCAGAAGGTCAGGAAGCTTCAACGACCATCTAAAGAAATACTTATTTTATCCATGATTGAGGGTAAATATCCTAATTAAACATGGAATTAAACATTGAACTCCTTCACAGAGGAAATTTCTTTTTGTGATTTTATTTTTAAAGATTACCTAAAAAATCTTGTATTAGCTAAACCAAAACCAGTTCATCCCACTAACTGTAAACAACAGATACTGGGAAACTGGTCTCACTGTGGGATTCCTATTTTGGAGGATTGCTTTGGTGAAGGAACTTGGATGAGTTAGGGTTAGGGTTAGGTGAGCAGCTGAAAGGCAAAATAAAACATTGTTGTTTACCTTCAGACTGAATGAATCTGACTGACTCAGTGAATCAGACTGATTGAGTCAGACTAAGTAAATGAATCAGACTGACTGAGTGAATCAGACTGACTGAATCAGACTGAGTGAGTGAATCAGACTGATTGAATCGACTAAGTAAATGAATCAGACTGACTGAGTGAATCTGACTGACTCAATCGGACTGAGTGAGTGAATCAGACTGACTCAATCGGACTGAGTGAGTGAATCAGACTGACTCAATCGGACTGAGTGAATCAGACTGATTGAATCAGACTAAGTAAATGAATAGGACTGAGTGAATCAGTCACTCACTCTGGATCAGAGTGAGTGAGTGAATCAGACTGATTTAGTGAATAAAACTGACTGATTGAATCAGACTGACTGAGTAAATGATCTTGAGTGACTGAATCTGACTGAGTGAATCAGACTGACAGTGAATCAGACAGAGTGACTGAATCAGACTGACTGAGTGAATCAGATGACTGAGTAAATGATCTTGAGTGACTGAATCTGACTGAGTGAATCAGACTGACAGTGAATCAGACAGAGTGACTGAATCAGACTGACTGAGTGAATGATCTTGAGTGACTGAATCAGATTGAGTGAATCTGACTGAGTTAGTAAATCAGTCTCAGTGAATCAGACTGACTGAGTGAATCAGACTGAATGAGTGAATCAGACTGACTGAGTGAATCAGACTGAATGAGTGAATCAGACTGACTGAGTGAATCAGACTGAATGAGTGAATCAGACTGACTGAGTGAATCAGACTGAATGAGTGAATCAGACTGACTGAGTGAATCAGACTGACTAGAGGCTGTCAGAACTTCCTTTCTGCTCATATAGGATCAGCAGTGGGAAGGCAGATCTTTCTGTCTGACTGCAGCCTCTGCTGGAATCATAGAACACTAAGGCTTCTCACATCATGTCTCTCAGGTCCCATCTGTCTGAACTCCCACTTCCACACAGAGAAGAGCAGCCTCTGTGCGTTAGCAACCGGAGATGCTGCCAGGACCTCCAACGGGACCGCTGTTCACCGACGGGCCAGGCTCTGACAACCGCTGACAGGAGTGAGCCATCTTTGTTCTAACGCTTCCTCTGATCTTTGAAGCTGAGTGAAATAAAGATTTCCAATTATGTCATTTATCTGATTCCTTTTAAATTGAAGCATCAGCACTTTGCATCCAGTAATTCAATAAAATGTCTCCGTATTTTGAGGGTGAAGGAAGCAGTAATGTTTGGTGGACGGTGATGTTCGGAGGAGTCATGGTGGAAGTGGAGCAGTCGTCATGGATTAGCATGACTGCGTAATGCTCCGTCAGATCTAAGATGGTGGATCCAGTTATCTGAGCCACCACGCGTCTCTGGACGCTCTCTGCTCTTCAGATGCTTCTCGCTGATTTTCCACTAACGTCCTGTATGTGTTGCTATGCAGTGGAGGAGCAGCTGTTCCGGTCGGTGGAGGGCCAGGCAGCCTCAGACGAGGAAGAGGACAAGAGCAGTGGAGAGCAGCAGAGGCTCCTGCAGAGGGGCCCGACTCAGCTGTCAGGCTGTGCTGAAAGGTAAACCACATCTAAAGCATCACAGTTCAAGGTCTGAGGACCCAACACAGCCTTACCTTTTGTCCAGGGCCCCCACATGGCCTTAGCCCATCCATCCCTCCCTCCCTCCCTCCCTCCCTCCCTCCCTCCCTCTTACTCTTACTCTTACTCTTATCCGGGGTCGGGTCGCGGGGGTAGCAGCTTCAGTAGGGAGCCCCAGACGTCCCTCTCCCCAGCCACTTGGGCCAGCCCTTCCTGGGGAATCCCAAGGCACTCCCAGTGTCTGGGTCTCCCCCTGGGCCTCCTCCCAGTGGGACGTGCCCGGAACACCTCACCAGGGAGACGTCCAGGAGGCATCCTAATCAGATGCGCGAGCCACCTCAACTGGCTCCCCTCGATGTGGAGGAGCAGCGGCTCTACTCGGAGTCCTCCCTGGATGACTGAGCTCCTCTCCCTATCTCTAAGGGAGAGCCCAGATGCACTACGGAGAAAACTAATTTCAGCCGCTTGGATTCGGATCTCGTTCTTTCGGTCATGACCCAAAGCTCATGACCATAGATGACGGTAGGAACGTAGATCGACCGGTAAATCAAGAGCTTTGCTTTTTGGCTCAGCTCTCTCTTCACCACAACAGACTAGTACAGCGCATGCTTCACAGCAAACGCCGCACCGATCTGGCTAGGATCTCCCGCTCAATCTTCCCCTCATTCGTGAACAAGACCCCAAGATACAACTCGACTAGGAGCAGCAGTTCCTCCACTAGGGACAGAACTTCCTCCACTAGGGGCAGCACATCCTCCACTAGGGGCAGAACTTACTCCACTAGGGGCAGCACATCCTCCACTAGGGGCAGAACTTACTCCACTAGGGGCAGCACATCCTCCACTAGGGGCAGAACTTACTCCACTAGGGGCAGCACATCCTCCACTAGGGGCAGAACTTACTCCACTAGGGGCAGCACATCCTCCACTAGGGGCAGAACTTACTCCACCAGGGGCAGAACTTACTCCACTAGGGGCAGAACTTACTCCTCTAGGGCCGGCAAGTCCTCCACTAGGGGCAGCACATCCTCCACTAGGGACAGAACTTCCTCCACTAGGGGCAGCACATCCTCCACTAGGGGCAGAACTTACTCCACTAGGGGCAGAACTTACTCCACTAGGGGCAGAACTTACTCCTCTAGGGCCGGCACGTCCTCCACTAGGGGCAGCACATCCTCCACTAGGGGCAGAACTTACTCCACTAGGGGCAGAACTTACTCCACTAGGGGCAGAACTTACTCCACTAGGGGCAGAACTTACTCCACTAGGGGCAGAACTTACTCCTCTAGGGCCGGCACGTCCTCCACTAGGGACAGAACTTCCTCCACTAGGGGCAGCACATCCTCCACTAGGGGCAGAACTTACTCCACTAGGGGCAGCACGTCCTCCACTAGGGGCAGAACTTACTCCAGTAGGGGCAGAACTTACTCCACTAGGGGCAGCACGTCCTCCACTTAGGTGCAGCACTTACTCCACTAGGGGACAGCACGTCCCTCCACTAGGGGCAGAACTTACTCCACTAGGGGCAGCACGTCCTCCACTAGGGGCAGAACTTACTCCACTAGGGGCAGCACGGCCTCCACTAGGGGCAGAACTTACTCCACTAGGGCAGCACGTCCTCCACTAGGGGCAGAACTTACTCCACTAGGGGCAGCACTTCCTCCACTAGGGGCAGCAACTTACTCCACTAGGGGCAGAACTTCCTCCACTAGGGGCAGAACGTACTCCACTAGGGCAGAACTTACTCCACTAGGGGGCAGAACTTACTCCACTAGGGGCAGCGACTCCTCCACTAGGGGCAGAACTTACTCCACTAGGGGTCAGCACAGTCCTCCACTAGGGGCAGAACTTACTCCACTAGGGGCTAGCACATCCTCCACTAGGGCAGAACTTACTCCACTAGGGGCAGCACATCCTCCACTAGGGCAGAACTTACTCCACTAGGGGGCAGCACATCCTCCACTAGGGGGCAGAACTTACTCCACTAGGGGCAGCACATCTCCACTAGGGGCAGAACTTACTCCCACTAGGGGCAGCACATCCTCCACTAGGGGCAGAACTTACTCCACTAGGGGCAGCACATCCTCCACTAGGGGCAGAACTTACTCCACTAGGGGCAGCACGTCCTCCACTAGGGGCAGAACTTACTCCACTAGGGGCAGCACGTCCTCCACTAGGGCCGGCACCTCCTCCACTAGGGCCGGCACCTCCTCCACTAGGGCCGGCACGTCCTCCACTAGGGGCGTCACCTCCTCCACTAGGGGCGTCACCTCCTCCATTAGGGGCGTCAGGTCCTCCACTAGGGCCGGCACCTCCTCCACTAGGGCCGGCACCTCCTCCATTAGGGGGCGGCACCTCCTCCACTAGGGCCGGCACCTCCTCCACTAGGGGCGGCACCTCCTCCATTAGGGGCGTCAGGTCCTCCACTAGGGCCGGCACCTCCTCCACTAGGGCCGGCACCTCCTCCACTAGGGGCGGCACCTCCTCCATTAGGGGCGTCAGGTCCTCCATTAGGGGCGTCAGGTCCTCCATTAGGGGCGGCACCTCCTCCACTAGGGCCGGCACCTCCTCCACTAGGGGCGGCACCTCCTCCACTAGGGCCGGCACCTCCTCCACTAGGGCCGGCACCTCCTCCACTAGGGCCGGCACGTCCTCCTCTAGGGGCGGCACCTCCTCCATTAGGGGCGTCAGGTCCTCCACTAGGGCCGGCACCTCCTCCACTAGGGCCGGCACCTCCTCCATTAGGGGCGGCACCTCCTCCACTAGGGCCGGCACCTCCTCCACTAGGGGCGGCACCTCCTCCATTAGGGGCGTCAGGTCCTCCATTAGGGGCGGCACCTCCTCCACTAGGGCCGGCACCTCCTCCACTAGGGGCGGCACCTCCTCCACTAGGGCCGGCACCTCCTCCACTAGGGCCGGCACCTCCTCCACTAGGGCCGGCACCTCCTCCTCTAGGGGCGGCACCTCCTCCATTAGGGGCGTCACCTCCTCCATTAGGAGCGTCAGGTCCTCCACTAGGGCCGGCACCTCCTCCACTAGGGCCGGCACCTCCTCCATTAGGGGCGGCACCTCCTCCACTAGGGCCGGCACCTCCTCCACTAGGGGCGGCACCTCCTCCACTAGGGGCGGCACCTCCTCCACTAGGGCCGGCACCTCCTCCACTAGGGGCGGCACCTCCTCCACTAGGGGCGTCACCTCGTCCACTAGGTGCGGCACCTCCTCCACTAGGGCCGGCACGTCCTCCACTAGGGGCGGCACCTCCTCCACTAGGGCCGGCACCTCCTCCACTAGGGGCGGCACCTCCTCCACTAGGGCCGGCACCTCCTCCACTAGGGCCGGCACCTCCTCCACTAGGGGCGTCACCTCGTCCACTAGGTGCGGCACCTCCTCCACTAGGGCCGGCACGTCCTCCACTAGGGGCGGCACCTCCTCCACTAGGGCCGGCACCTCCTCCACTAGGGGCGTCACCTCCTCCACTAGGGGCGTCACCTCCTCCACTAGGGCCGGCACGTCCACCACTAGGGCCGGCACCTCCTCCACTAGGGGCGGCACCTCCTCCACTAGGGGCGGCACCTCCTCCACTAGGGGCGTCACCTCCTCCATTAGGGCCGGCACCTCCTCCACTAGGGGCGGCACCTCCTCCACTAGGGGCGGCACCTCCTCCACTAGGGGCGGCACCTCCTCCACTAGGGGCGTCACCTCCTCCACTAGGGGCGGCACCTCCTCCACTAGGGGCGGCACCTCCTCCACTAGGGGCCGGCACGTCCTCCACTAGGGGCGGCACCTCCTCCACTAGGGCCGGCACCTCCTCCACTAGGGGCGTCACCTCCTCCACTAGGGGCGGCACCTCCTCCACTAGGGCCGGCACCTCCTCCACTAGGGGCGTCACCACCTCCACTAGGGGCGGCACCTCCTCCACTAGGGGCGGCACCTCCTCCACTAGGGCCGGCACGTCCTCCACTAGGGGCGGCACCTCCTCCACTAGGGCCGGCACCTCCTCCACTAGGGGCGTCACCTCCTCCACTAGGGGCGTCACCTCCTCCACTAGGGGCGGCACCTCCTCCACTAGGGCCGGCACCTCCTCCACTAGGGGCGGCACCTCCTCCACTAGGGGCGGCACCTCCTCCACTAGGGGCGGCACCTCCTCCACTAGGGGCGTCACCTCCTCCACTAGGGGCGGCACCTCCTCCACTAGGGCCGGCACCTCCTCCACTAGGGGCGGCACCTCCTCCACTAGGGGCGGCACCTCCTCCACTAGGGGCGTCAACCTCCTCCACTAGGGGCCGGCACCTCCTCCACTAGGGGCGGCACCTCCTCCACTAGGGGCGGCACCTCCTCCACTAGGGGCGGCACCTCCTCCACTAGGGGCGGCACCTCCTCCACTAGGGGCGGCACCTCCTCCACTAGGGGCGGCACCTCCTCCACTAGGGGCGTCACCTCCTCCACTAGGGGCGTCACCTCCTCCACTAGGGGCGGCACCTCCTCCACTAGGGCCGGCACCTCCTCCACTAGGGGCGGCACCTCCTCCACTAGGGGCCGGCACCTCCTCCACTAGGGGCGGCACCTCCTCCACTAGGGGCGGCACCTCCTCCACTAGGGGCGGCACCTCCTCCACTAGGGGCGTCACCTCCTCCACTAGGGGCGGCACCTCCTCCACTAGGGCCGGCACCTCCTCCACTAGGGGCGGCACCTCCTCCACTAGGGGCGGCACCTCCTCCACTAGGGCCGGCACCTCCTCCACTAGGGGCGGCACCTCCTCCACTAGGGGCGGCACCTCCTCCACTAGGGGCGGCACCTCCTCCACTAGGGCCGGCACCTCCTCCACTAGGGGCGGCACCTCCTCCACTAGGGGCCGGCACCTCCTCCACTAGGGGCGGCACCTCCTCCACTAGGGGCGGCACCTCCTCCACTAGGGGCGGCACCTCCTCCACTAGGGGCGTCACCTCCTCCACTAGGGGCGTCACCTCCTCCACTAGGGGC